TCTCATATACGAGCATTGTGCTCTTTGCCGCAATCTTGAGAATTTTATTCTCCTTTCCGAAGCTGCCTTGAGTAGCCGGACACAAGCAAGGTTGGAGGTCTGATTCTCGTATCTCATCTCACTCAGGTCCCCATCCCATCGGACTCGGCGGCAGAGGAGGAAAAGACAATCCACGACAAAACTCTTGACCCAGCCTGTTCTGCAGCCAGTACCGCGAAAGCGGGAGCCAAGCAAGGGTGTACCCTGGACCGGCGTGGGCAGCCAAAGCAAGAAAGTCAGCGATATTGGCGCCAGTCCCGAAAAAAGAATTTGAGACAGACATATGGGCAAGTTATAGGATGCTGTACGACATGCTTATGGATGTGAGCATGATGGGAAAAGCAAGACGGCTCATGGGGTTGAAGTGTCCAGTTCTCGCGCAGCAACAAACTACGGTGGGCAATGAATACGCCATTGAGGCCGTGTTCCAGGGGCATGCTGGTGGAAGTCCATGTCTCTCTTGCGAGGCATCTGGCTGTCTCTGCATCTTGGCTGTCTTGAGATGAATCACGTCTCATTGACCGTGCTGAACAGCTGTGATGCTGGACTAGTCGGATAGATACTATACTATCCATGGACTTGGGCAGGGGAGGAGATTGATGAGTCTGTGGCTGTCTTTCTTGAGGCTCCCACCCCCTGGTTCCCGCGCAGCAAGACTGGACCAGCGTCTTCTCACAAGCAGCTGTCTTGTCTGGGTCTTCCTGGAAGGATGTCTCCAGGAGCAGGATGGTGATATTGGAAAGTCGCAACCCCTGCTGTCTCTGATGCCGCCAAGGTCGGCATTGGAGGCTGCTGCCCAAGCGTCGACCACCCGGCTTGGCTCAAAGTGCGTGCTTCTCTCTCTAGATTTCCCTGACATGGCGGTCCAATGATGAAAGAAGCGTCAGGTACATGGTCCAGATGGACTAGACAACTGCGCCCCCGTCGCTCTGAGGCCTTGGTGTTGCAGCCGTCGAGCCCTAATAGGGAGCAAGAGGTTCTAGGCTCGGGGCTTGGACCCAGTCACGGTCCTGTCGGTGCCGTCTCCGTGAGCTTATTGATCCGTGTGACTGACACAGGGGGTCCATATCCAAGATCCATCCGCGATAGTGTCGTTGAGGTCGGCGACTGATGGGTCCTTCTTTCGATCACGGCTTCGCTGTTGCCGAAGGACCAGAACCAGAACCAGAACCAGAACCAGAACCAGAACCAAGACCAGAATCAGGGTCCAGCTCTGGATGGACAAGGCTCTCCATCGAATTCCCCTCTTGGCACGTCGCCTAGCGCAGTGTTGAATAGGGCCCGTGTGTACCTGGTAGCAGCCCTGCCAGAAAGTGACTGCTCATGATAAAAGGTGTTCACTTGCCACGTTGTATACACCCACTCACACAGATAGGCAGACACAAGCGGTTATGGGTTACCAATTTACGCATGTCAAGCACATTCTTGACTACCAGGGCTCAACACCACCACTACCATCATCACCATCATCATGACAAGCATGATCTGCCTCTCATCTTGGGGGGGGGGGGGCAACCAGGGGACGCCTTCCGGACGCCGTCCCCGTTGTGCGCTCTGCGCCTCCAGGGGTCGTGGGAGAAACAGAGTCCAGCCGGTCGGTTCCCGCCACTGCCACAGCCGGGGGGCCAAGGGCCAAAAGCAGCCTCGCCAAAGCAGCCAGGGCAGCCAAAAGCGGCCATCAGCCCGCAGCCGGGAGGCCAGGACTCAATGCATTGGGGAAACTGGGCTTGATGGCTGGGGGGCGCTCAGGTTCGAGAGAGAAGAGCCCAGCGGTTTGACAGTCTAGCCCTCCCCGGACTTGGGAAGCCCCACGAGACATGACGGATGGCCAGAATACAGTGCAACAGCGACTGCACTACATGGAAGGCATAGACGTAATAGCTTAGAGTAGACGAGCGACGCATAGGGAGAGTGGAAGACATGCAATGACGGAGGGACCCGGGCCAGGGCCAGGGCCAGGACTAGGACCAGGACCAACCTAGCCTCCCCCCCCCAGCCCCAGGCCAGACTCTTTTTTTTCTCCCCCTTCTACCAAGGCAAAGAGAAGATGAGGAAGAAGTAAAAAACCACAATAAGAAGGCGTGTGCGTTTTGCGGGAGGGATTTGCGTGCCGTTCAATGTGGGCATCGGGTATCCCACCCCCCTGGTTCCCGATCTGGGTCAGCCACGCAGCAAAGAGTAGGGACGGGGACTGGCGATCCCGTGTGCCAGAGGAGAGGGAGATCAACATCAAGTGGAAAGGCAAGACCAGACGAAGGGACCTGCTTTGAACTGGGGGAGGGGGGAGGGAAACAAAACATGTGAGGGACAATATCACGGGGGCGAGAAGCCTCTCTCCCAGATCGAGACGCAGGCAGAGAGAAAAGAACACACAGACGCATCATGTCTCCTGTTAGACTTGTTCGACTCACGGCGCAACTCCTCATCTCACATGCAAGCAAGAAGGCAATTTGCACCCATTCTTTGCTGTGTCGGTCGGTGTCGGTGTCGGCACGGCAGCTGAACCACCACGAGGTACAGTACTTGGGTCCATGTGCATACATTACCCCGTACATACATTTTTTCATTGCGCAGTGTTTCTCGTTGTGCATGGCATCAACCACTCATGGATGTGTTCGTTTATTCATTCACTCAGTTATTCGTTCAGTCATTCGCCGAGCCTCGTGTTGTCGTCTTCAGCTCAACACGGCACACACTCCCAGCAACAGGATTCATTGATTGAATAGCACAATTGCACCTCAATATGGTCTGTGCCTTGTTGTGCTGTCATTCATTCATTCATTCATTCATCAACTTGACTTTCATGTCTCGTACCCCCGCTGCATTCACACCCGGTGAGCGAGCGAGCGAAGCCAAAGACAGAACAGGGGGAGTGTGTGCCCCCTGCTCGCTCTGGCGCCACCCCTTCCCTTGGCTTCTTGTCTCCGGCTCCAGCTCCGGGCCTGTTGCTGGTGGTGGTACTCTGTAGGTGGTTGGTTGGAGGTACCCTTTGCCCTGTGGTGCTTGCAGCCAGCTCGCTCTTCCAGTGCCTCCAGTATGGGGATGGGCCAGTGCCAGTTCCAGTGCCAGTGCGTTTGGGTGTGCCCTCCGCTAGTGGTGGTAGTGGGTGGTGGTGAAGGTGGGAGTGGTGGTGGTGGTGCTGGGAGTGGGCTGGTAGCGATAGAGATGTTTTTGCTGCTCTTGTTCTCCTTTTGCGTGCATCTCTTTCTGCACGTACATGACACTCTGGTTTGGCGTCTTGTCTCTCATTTTGTTTTTGTTTTGTACAGATAGTCTACTTCTACTACTCGACCCTCATCCTTCTCCAGGTGTCTCCTAGTCTTCTAGCTGGGCTGCTAGATCGCTCCACAAGGTGATGACGGTGCGGGCTGCTGGCTCGGGGACCTACCTCATTCTTGCTTGCTTGCTGATTACCAGCACTGGACAATACACTACGGCACCGCAGCAGGCCAGGCCAGGCCAGGCCATACCAGGACCTGTCCTTGAGCTGGAGTCTAGTCCAATCCAATTGGATCCAGTCAAGGTCCAGCTTCGAGGCCCCGGCCCAACAGCTGGGTCCATGATCCATTCAGCCCTCCCGAGCTAGTCGATTTTGGCGTCTGGCGTCGTGCCCTAGAGATCCCGTCTCAGCGAGGCCCTAGCAAGACGCTAAGCCCAGAAGAATGCCAAGGCTTCAAGCTACGGCCTGAGCAGTTGAGGGCCCCTGCACCTACCACCCCCCTCTCCCACAATCACCTCGAGGGGATGGGGATGGGGAGGGGGGTGGTCCAGTCTCACACTCTCTTTCGGTTGTTTTTGGTTGGTCTCGTTGTTTGTTGGCCTCTGCGCTCGTTCACTCTTCTCAACTCTTTTTTTCCTCCTCCATCCATCCCCATATGGATGGATCCATCTTGTTCTTTTCTCTCTCCATGTCTGCGTGGGTGTTACTCGTAGATGCTATCACCACGGAGGGTGTGTCATGGCAAGAGCGCCTCGCGCTGTCGAGGCAGGAGCCCCCCCCGACAAGATACCTTACAGTATACATATACATATTGCGCCAAAGGACGCCACTGAGAGGGCAAACCTTATTGAAAGTCTTTGGACTCCCATTGACGACACCCCAAGCAAAATCCCACCCCATTCATGTTCTCCAACCTGGCAGCATCGTGACTATTTGACTGACTGCTCTGCTAACTGGACCTTGCAAGGGCATTCATTCATCTACATTGATCATCCTCTTCAGATTTTTATTCTTCTTCTCCCCTTCCCTCCTCCTTCTCATCCAATCTCTTTCATCCCATCTTCTCTCTGCCTGCCAGTGCTGACCCCGTGCCTGGCACTGACTGCATCACCACCGCCATCCCCTGTCACTCACTGTGCTGCTTAGAGTTTGGCCTCGGACCTCGAAGCAAACCAAACTCATCCATCGCCTGGGAGATCCCGCTGTTTGTACTTGTACTGTACCGTCATCCGCGAGCGAGCTTTGGGTGCAAGTGGTCTTGTCGACGTGTATACAAGAAGCTCAGAGCTCCTTCCCCTCCTTTGGTGTGGTCGACCCCAGCCCCTCGGCGATACAAAGCAAACGCCTTTCCCGGACTTCAAAGCCATTCATCAGCCATCTTCTGCCGTCAGACCAAACTCTACCTATTGCCTTTGCCTTTGCCGACACGGGAGCGCGCACCTGTCCTCTACAGCCAGCCTTTGACGCTGACGGCCCGCCAACGTCTGGACAGCAGCCCCCAAACACCACGGCGTAGGATCGCGACAGCGTGCCATCTAGAGCTTCATTCCTGGCCGCTTGAAGACGAAGAACCCGGCGACAAGGCCATTTATCCACCAGGGCAGCATCTCGCCCGCCAGCAACATCCTCATCCAGACCAAAAAGGCATCCAGCTGCAGCACTAGCGATAGGTGACCAAGAAGGCAGCGGCGGAAGCCATTACCACAACTCCCCACCACCACAAGAACCTCCACCTCCCGACATGGCAATGGAGAGCTTCTCTGCACGCCGCCCGGCTGCTGGCACACTTCCAGCCTTTTCTCTGCCTCCACCCAATGCAGATGTACCAAGTATGGCCAAAGATCCCCTCTATCCTCATATCCCTGGAGACTCTTATGAGAACTACCACAACCCGCGCGGTATCGACTCGGCTGGGTACCCATATCCGTCGTCGTATCCTCCCCTCCCCGGCCCCTTTCCCGATCGCCGCCTCTCGTCTTCGCCCAGTGTTCTGACCCCTTCGCCAGGAGCTAGTGACGGCCTGAGCCCCAGTCTCTCCAGCGTCCACACCGGCAGCTCCCAAGGATCCCAAGCTCCCGGCGGAATCCAGTACTCGTACGGAGGCCACGTCCACGGCGCATGGCCTACCCCGGGAAACAGCTCGTCATATACCGTCAGCTCCGCGACTCAGGCTCAGCCCACCCTCGGACAGCAGCACTTTGCTGGCCGCAGCTCCTCCATCTACAGCCAAAGCCCGTCGATTCAGCAGTTTAACCACCCGCGAAGCTCCCAGTCTCCGGCGACTGGAGGAGAAGGACTCCCCCCACCACCATATGACCAGGTTCATCACCCCTTTCAGACTTCCCTCTCTGGCGGAGGCGGCCAGACCTCTCCCTCAGGCTTGTCTTCGGCATCCCAACCGCCTCAGAGCGCAATTCTGACTTCGCAGAACCCCGTATCTACCCAGCCTCCTACCCCCTCGAGTGCACCCGCCCACGTTGACTCGTATACGCATACGAGGCCGCCTAGCACGCCGAGCTACTACACTGCATCGTCTACGCCACAACAGTCAAACTTTCCCTCCTACCCGCCTCAGCCTTCTCCGACACAGCATTCGCCTCCTAGCACCGGCCCAGTGTCCAGGGGCTTGGGTTCACTCTCAGGTCAGCCACAAGGACCTGGAATGGCGCCTCCTGCGCCATATCGACCGTATCCGTACCAGTCTCTACCCACCATGGGCGGATCCGTCATGTCCAACATTCACCAGCCTGGTGGTCAGATGTCGATGATTCCCGGGATGGGCGTGCCGCAGTACCCCCATCATATGATGTACGGACATGCTCAACCTGCTCCTCAGTCAGAGCGCCCTTTCAAGTGCGACCAGTGTGTGCAGTCTTTCAGCCGCAACCATGATTTGAAGCGGCATAAGAGGATTCACCTTGCAGTGAAGCCTTTCCCCTGTACTTTCTGCAGCAAGAGCTTCTCGCGAAAGGATGCACTAAAGGTATGAATACTGTCGATCCTTGTAATTCAGCTTCATTGATATGAAGGGCGGTTTGCTAACAATATCAACAGAGGCATAGACTGGTCAAGGGCTGCGAGAACAAAGCTAACGAGGCCACCAACAATGGTGACGGCAATGGAGCGGAGCGGAGTGAGGACAACGAGAGCCCCGAGACGAAAAGAGAACCTTGAAAGGCCGATGAGAACGAGTGATTGATTTTCTGCGGCTGGGATACCCCTGTTTCGAGATGACGTTTAGACATTTGGTTTCAAGGGGTGAGCGAACGGTATGGTGCTAATGTGGAGGAAATCGCACAACTATGGATGGACTCGAGCCGGGAGGCGGCAGATGCAGGTGGAGGATGGGAAGCAATCAGCAACCCCGACCCCACAGGCCTCGAAGGCGGTTCTTGGCTCGAGGTACGACAGATTCAACCCTTATACGATTCAATGCATTGTCAAACGGCATGGAATAGGCTTTGCCGCGGACGGATGGGCGCAACGGAGGACGGGAGAATGAGTTATCGGCGTCAAGGGCGATGGACCTCGGGTCAACAATAGCAAGGACAATGGGCTATGGACGACGAATTTGCGTCACTTGTGTGTTCTATTCTGGAAAAGTGTCAGTCGGGTCTGACAAGGCTACCACGGTTTGGGTTTGGAATTAAGTTTGAGTTTGGGTTTTTGGGTTCAAAGGAAGGGTCATGGACGAAGATGAGAAGATTGAGATGAGAGGGAACCAACACAGAACGAAACCAAGTTTCGGCATCATGCAAGAAGGCAAACAAACAAAGGGGCTTCGCCGGGCTAAGGGGTTCACGGAAGGGTCACGGCCTTGGACGGATGGACGGACGGGCATGGAAGGGTGATGGCATGGTTATCAGACACTGGCCTAATTGTATATGGATTCTAAACGGCATGGTCTAGACGGGGAATTGGGAACCTCAAACTGGGATTCTTTGGTTTCTCTTATATGGTCTTTTTGACGGGGAGTCTTGATATATTTTGTTTGCTTGAAACATTCACTCATGGCGGCATGGGATGGATGGGTGGGACGGACATGGTGTACTAAGGACAAGGCTGGGAAAATTCTGGAAGGCCTAAACGGGTCCATAACAAAGAAAGTGAGATTCACTGATGCTTCATGCACTGATTCACATTTTTATTCGACAACATGATGTGCCCCTTGTGCTGGTAGTGGTGTCCCGGAGGCGCAGGGCGACAACGGGTATTGAAGAGTGAGACAAGGCGTGAGAGAGACTGTTTCTCTTCTCAAGGCATTGGAGAGAACAGTGAGAGAAGACAGAGGGAGAGACAGGTTCCGGAGAGGGAATGACAGACTTGCCCACGCTGGTTAGTGTTGGGGGAGCTTAAGCTGGAGGTGGGATGGCTGTCTGGCACGGAGAATGGGCGTCAGCCAGCCACAGTAGACTACCGTTGTGCCTATTGAAGGCGGACCTGTGCGGGAAGGACGGCTACGGGGTCCAATCCAATCCCAGGGCGGGATCGTCAAACTTGGGCTGAAGTCTCTTGATGGGTGATTGGAAGGCTGGCAGATGGACCCAGATGCAGCGCAGGTTTATTGATTGATTGGAGTTGAAGGTTCAGATTGTGTCCTATTGCAGCAGAGCCTTGTTTTTTTTGTTTGTGTAGATCGAGATTGAGTCAGATATGGGCAGGAGATGATATTGATAGTCGTGATGAATGGTTGTGATGGGTTAGATGTCGCTGAGAAGGGTCAAGAATAGAAGGGGACGAGACGATGGGAATAGATTAATTCTTGATGAAAAAGATGTTTGCTGTCTGTTTGTATCAACTATCATCTGAATCTTGATCTGGCGCGTCAACCGCAACCAGATGTATTGGACAGTAGTCCAATACTCCAACACAAACGCAGGCCTCAAGATTGGTGGGCTCTTGCTATTACCAGTCGTTGTTTGATTTTATTGCGCATGTTTTTTCCTTTTTACTCCTGATTATCTATCCAGCTAGCAACAGGGAGGCGGTCCGGGTTATTCCCTTTGGGGCCATGTGCGGTAGTTGGGCTTGCAGAAGGACAATCCTGGTTGACCATGGGGATGAGAGACAAGAGAACGGTAAGGGGGGGTGGGTATGTATCTGTGACATTTTTATTGAGACTAGGGCCTTGGGAGGCTGAATGCAAGAGATTTTTTTTTATTCATGGATTTATCTGGTCTTTTTTCGCCTTTCTTTTGCGACAAGGTTCTATTCATCTGAAATCAGGCTCTGAGATGGTGGTGGGTGGGTGGCTGCAAGGGGGCGCGAAACGGGGTTGCATACATTGATTGTCTTTAAGAAAAAAAAAAAAGCTTGACGAAAAAGACCAGGGCCAAGGCTCTAACGCGAATAAGCCAGATAGACGCGTGAATGAATTGGTAACCGAGTTTGGTTAGTCCCATATGGGGGCATTTTGTATAACAACTTTCCATGGTGTTGAAGAGGTTTTGATATCCATTTCGATATCCTTAGCATTAGTTATCACTAAGATCAAGATTAGGATGCTGACCAACGGCAAGAACCTGGGTTAGATCACAGGGTCTGGACTTTTAATTCTTCCAGCTAGTGTATGAGCTACTTTAACTACTTTGTCACCACCACCTCAACAATGCGGGTCAAGATCAAAACTGGGAATACCCTCACACTCCTCTCCTTCTTTTTTTAGCAAAAGCCAAAAACGCTCTGACAGGCAAAGGCCGAAACGTCAAACCTGCTAGCCGGGACCGCCGCAATCCAAACGTGAACGACGGACGACGTTCCCGGCTGAAGGGGTGTGTGTATGTGTGGCAAATCCGCCCCTTCCTCTTCAATTGTTGTCTCTTTGACCTGCGGGCTTTTTAAGCCCAGGCTTGTGGGCGGAGGCGTTTGACCGCACGGGGAAGCCTAGGCGAGTGCGAGGATGGGGAGAGACTAGAACGGGCGGGGATGGGGAGGGGGGGCGTCCAAGCTAGGGGTCTGGAACGGGTAGGAACAAATCAGGCCAGCCCTTCCCCGGGGAGGGCGTTCCGTAGTAAGGCTCGATCACTTGAAAAGAGAGACATTGTCTGTTGCTGGGTTGGAGGAGGGGGGTGAGAAGTCCACAAGGCAGATCTAGATGGAGGAGGCACACACGCATCTGGTATGGCTTCTTGTTCAAATGCTTCTTCACCGGAAACCTGGGTCTAGAGACCAAGTGCCGACGAACGACCTCGGATGAGGCCGGTGGTGACATGAAGTGCACACGCCTGTGTGTTTGCTCTCAGACACAACAAGTCGGGCATCCTCCATCACAAGCCTTGGTATCTGATGGCCAGAACCTTTGACCCCCTATTCACCGCATGGACCTGGACAAACTTGTTCACCGTTGTGTTGTGTTGTCTTGACTTGACTGCATTCAAACTCCTCTGTGCTGACTGCATGCGTTATGCGTATGGATACTTTATGCCTGGAATCTCATGCCCAGCCTCAAAGTGCCAGGCCAGGACCTGACGACAATGGCATCAGGCTGTGGGCGGTTGCATACGAGACGTGTCCGTCTGCATCAATCACCATGATGCTCGCCTCGTCTGCCGTCGATCATGTTCAATCACACACTTTATCCTATCACCTCAGACAAGAATACCTTGCCCTTTCATCTCTCGTACTTTGTCGACAAACGCCGATCCATATCCCCCCCTTTTCACTTCCCCGACGTGCAACAAGACTCTGACCGTATCCCATTCCGATTGGATCACGCGCCTTGTTTCCTGCTTCTCCTCTCCCTTGCGGGATGTGACTGTGTGCGTGTGTGTGTGTCTCTTGTATGTGACGAGCCACGGTCGCTTGCTTACCTGGAGGAGGTGATCTAGCTGAGGCGTGACTGGTCAGAACTGGACCTCGTAGTTCAGCTCCGAGGGCCATTATCGTGAAGGCTGACTGACATTCAGGGGGGAAGCAACTCGAGCCGAGCTGCTGAGCAACCAAGGCAGTTTCCCCTTTTCTTCATCATAGAAGAAACTACTCCTCGAACTCGATAACCTCCGACGTCGTCACGAATCCTTTCTTACCCCCGGAACCGATTTCCTGCAACCACCCGTTGTCGTCGGGCCGCAAGAGAAAGAGCACTTTGTCAGCGCGGGAGCCGAGCCCTGTCTTGTACAACCTCGAAGCAGTTTCTAAAAAAAGGGTGGTTGGGCGTGTGGATAAAAGACAAACATATTGCAATATATCGGAAAATATTGGTGTAGGCCTCAGGTGCTGTACGAGATGATTGTTGTCTTGGAGTCTGTGCAAGCCTTGTTGTGTTGGCTGTGTAACTCTTGTGACCTGGGATTTGGATGGGGGTTACATGGTGACTGAGCACTGCATATGATGCTATTGTAGGAGGGAAGATACCTCTTCTGTCCGTGGCCCTGTTGTCGGAGCCACAGGGCCGAAGATAGAGGACAGGGCCTGGGGTAGAAGGCTACGTGCGACGAGTTTGTGTTGGCGATATGGGGAGAAACGGAGTACACCAGGGGATTGCATAACCACACACTGTAGCCTTGAACGTAGTGACCGTCGCCCTATGGCAGACGGGACAGCATGCCTTGTAAGCCAGCAGCGTAGACCTGGCCAAACTCGATTGGCTGTTGTGCCTGGCATCTTCTCTTCGCTGTCAACATGCTGATGTCAGCGGTCATGTTGCACTGGATGCTCCCCCTTCACGATTGCCTACAGACGACGACCCTGATAGCCAGTGACGTGTTAGAGCTGATATGTCAAACTTGTAAAAACTGTTCTTCTCTTTCCTTTTGCATTCCTACCCATTTCGTCATATTGAACACCAATGTCCGAAAGACCAAAACGTCATTTCGTCAACTCAACACCAACAATTAGAGCATCAAAGTTTCCCCTCATCCTACAAAGGCCAAGCCCCAACACTCACGCAGAAGCCACGAATGGCCGTCTCGGGGAAACTCGATGCATAGACTGGATTTCTTAAGCTTTGATAGTACCGGTACCTGATCTGAAGCCTTCACGGTCAAGGTACATGCCTCGTGAGCTTGCGTGCAAAGTATAAAAGGATGGGCTCGGTCGGTCAAGTCCGCCTCTTCACAACGGCGGATACTTCCGTTCGAAGATACATCGATGCATGATGTTCTCTTTTTGCTGCGAGCTCTAGATACACTTTCCTAGAATTCCCTTCTTGATCTTCCTTGATGTGAGGTTATTGGCTGGAGTCTGCAGGCAAGGTTAGAGAAAGAGGAGACAAACCAAGATTTTGACGCGTCTATATGCCTTCTATGCATCATATGGCGTGAGTTGTAAGATCTGATTTGGTTGGAATTGGCCTGATGGAAGGAATTAAGGTTCTGGTCATGTCGATGCCTAGCTTTGGGAATAGCTTCTTCGTTCTATCATGCAGTCTCGAATATCAAGGTTATTTAGTCCTCGTCTTGTAAACTACGCCCTTGCGTGACCAGGAAACATACATCGCTATTGGCTGTGTCCAGGAAATTTATGCGAGATTACAAGTCACAGTCAGGCGGTCCGATGAGAGCGCATCATTGAGCCGAGTTCTTTGCAGTACCAAGTGTGAGGAGGCCTCTGTTTCATGCTAGAAATGCTGTCAACACATATCTATGGTTTAGAAAGCAACCAAGGCCAAACTCAGCTGTGCATGATCTCTCCAGCGTGCGATCATGCTGCAGCTAAAGGTGAGTAGGAACAACACGCTGGTTGGCGGAGCAGATATCTCATGATGTACTCACACTCAGAACCATCTTTTATCCGTGAGAGTCTTCAAATGTTCTCGGCACAATGGTTACGGACTTTGTTCCAACTGGTTTGGTTGATGTTATGTTATGCCTTGCATCTTGGTTTCGGACCGTGTCTCGTGAGTTGACTCATGATTGAATTGACTCACTCAGGTCAGGAGATCTTGAAACTATTACAAGGCCGCAGACAAACTCAAGGTGAGTGTCACTAATGAGTCTCTCGGAATATGGAAGCCTGTTGAAAGGACTGAGTCAGTCGATCAATTACACTACACGCATGCGTTCCCCTCACCGATCCAAGCTGACCGAGAGGACAAGATTGGATACATTTAGGAAAGTTTATTCTAGGAAAGCTTTTAGAATCCAGGTTTATGTTGCATGTCACGCGCTTGGATCTTTGGAAAAGGTCTGATGAGGATCTAACACCCCGACGTCTGTGTATCAGGGAGCTTAGACACGGCACAACGAGGTCTATGCGGTTGGGATCCTGTTGCTCCTGATTGAAGCATTGTAGAGATCCTGTAGCGTGATGTTGTGATGGATGTTTCTGTTGGGTTTACTTGATCCCCAATTAATGGTGAAAGAGTTGTCATCGTGACGTTGACGAGTTTAGTTCGTTCAGAGCCTGCAGATGTGAAACACCAAGGAGACGAACATGCTGAGATATGCTAGATGTCAAGAGTTGAATTGATATTATCAAAAATGCATAGAAAATTGCTTGTAGTTTCTTTGACGATCAATTGCCAATTTCGAGTTGTGAGGTCCAAGACGCTAGTTGAAGTCGTGAGTGGTGGAGTGGGAATGTACCTCGTCAAGTACCGGTACCTCTGTTAGCAGCGATTAAGTGCGCAACTCTGCGACGACCGAGTCTGTTTGAGCAAGAAATGATTATCTCGGCATCCATTCAACCCGGGTTGATCTTGAGGAATTGGATCAATTTTTGCTTGGTCAGCTAGATAGTGAATGTCTTGGTCTATTTTTCGAGGCTCTTGGTGTCGTTCTTTTCTCGATTGAGAATGCCACAACGGTCGCCATCTTTACTCCTCCACATCCTCTTGTCGTGACAGCCTCGGCGGCCATCAACATCAACCTCACCCAATCGCTCATTCTGCCATTTAGCACGCTCCATTATTGTTACTGAATCACTGAAAGTGCTTCCAATCACTTTTCACCTTCTACCCTTGATCAATCCGACCAAAACCACGAAAAAGACAACCAACATGTCCTTCGTTCCCCGTCACGACATGCCCGGCATTGATGCCGACTCCTCCCACACCTCCTCCTCGTCGCACTCGTCGCATGGCTCCAGCTCCAGCTCCATCATGGCCATGGTCTTCCAGACTCAGAGACAAACCCCTCTCTACTCAGACTCTTGGACACCCGAAAGCGCCGGAGCCTACGCCGGTACCTGCATCTTCCTCGCCATACTCGCCATCATCGCCCGTTGCCTCGTAGCCTTCAAGGCCGTGCAGGAAGCTCGCTGGCTGGACCGCGAGGCTGCCCGTCGATACGTCGCCGTCAACGGAAAGCTTCCGTTGGCAGAGCAGATCGCCTCGGGCCCGGATGCGCGCCGCATGACACTGACTGAGAATGGTGTCGAGGAGACGGTGGTGGTTGTGGAGAGGAAGCGAGCTGCTGCGAGACCGTGGCGGTTCAGCGTCGACCCTGTCCGAGCGTGTCTCGACACCGTCATTGTCGGAATTGGATATCTTCTGTACGTCTCCTCCCATCGTTCTACTGGCACTAGAAGCTAACAGTTGCGTAGCATGTTGGCCGTCATGACCATGAATGTCGGCTACTTCCTCTCGGTCCTGGCCGGCGTCTTTGTCGGCAGCCTCGCAGTCGGTCGATATACACAATCAGTTGAGCACTAGACAACAATTGCTCTTTGTTCATCTTCGGGATTGAGGCGATACAGGCGCACAGGATTCTTTCAGCCCGAGACGGCGTTTTGGTTTCATATTTGGCAAGCAAGCAGGCAATGGGCCATGGGACAAAGACATTTCTTTCTTGTTTTACACATGGCGTCTAGAATTAATTCCATGATTGTTACCTAGTTTCCAACATGTTCATGCCATCAAGGTGATGGACACTGATTGATGGTGATCCACATCAAGTATCTCAAGTATCGGTACTTCTGATTGGAAACTCTCTCAAACTTGCTCACCTCCATTAGCCTGCTCCGCGCGCGCTATCACCATCTAGCACTAGCTCACCCGTCAATTGTCCCGCCTTGTTAACCCACTACGTAACTTTGAGACTTTGCGTGTTTAGTCGAGAACAAAGACGTGATTGGCGCTGAAATCCCGTTCTTACAACTTCATGTCAACCTATTAGTTAATGCAACCTTGATGGTTCATTGAGACATCGTGATAGCCCTCTTGGAGAATGGAAGGGGTGAAGCAAGCGATGCACAGGTTGGCAATACTTGGTCTTTGAACCATGACTGGTTTCTGGGAAAGGCTCCTCCTTAACATTATCCCCCCTCGAGAACCTTCCAAGTATCTTAAATAAAGCATAGCCATAACTATCTTCTCAGCTAATCTAAGATCTGGAACAATACTCTGGGAACTCAATCGCATGATGGAAGTAAACGCCATAGAGAAGAGAGGTAAAGGACCACCCATAGCATGACAAGATCGGCCACAGCCCTTCATATGCCCACCACGTCCCTGAGCTCTCTTATCAACTTCTGTCAGACTAATCCATGAGCTGGAAGCATGAATATGACAGTGAGACTTACGAGGAAGAGGTTATCACAAGACCAGGAATTGGGGGGTCAGTCATCCGTGTTCAACACTCGACACCTGCAGTGACTCTGTCTCTTCTTTTCTTTCTAGATCAACTCTGCAGCAATTTATGCACATGAAAAGGTAGAATACTTTGCTCTTCCGCTTCTCAATGGAGAGTTTGCTCGAGTTTATTGGTTGAGCCATGATTATGGTGGGCAGATGCACAAGAGACACGAACGGCAAACACCAAAATGATGAACCAGGGAGAGCATTCCAGTCGCAGTTTACAATATTAAAAACAAGTTTACAGACAATTGTAGAAGCGAGCCTCGCGCCAGCTGGGCGCGAGGCCGGCCCACAGAGCAGGGCACAAGGAGGATGAGGGCATCGCCAGATTAGAGGGACACACTGACACTAACTAACCGCAGTCACAGCAACCCGTTTGAAGTCCTTGTCCTTTGAAACAGCTTACAAATGGTGCGAACACAGCCACACGAAAGAGGGAGCGCGCGAGACCCGCGCAAGCGGCGTACAAGAGCCACACAAAGTTTCCTTCCCCTGTGTTTTTCTTTGTGACCATGAACAAAGAGGTTCTGCAGGTCTAGATAGATAGACGAGAGCAGTGTGATATTTATGCAATGCAACTATAGTAGCTCTCCGGATCGAGATTATAGGGACTGGAGAATCACCTCTTGAGAACCTGCGTGCATATGGGTAAAGGGGCATAGACACGGGCCAGGAACAGTTGCGGCCTGGCAATGGGATATGCATTGCGACTTGATTGAACTAGTTGGAGGATACCATGTTCCTGCTGAGTATTCAAGTCTTCTGTTGACTAGTCATACCGGGTTGACAATCACTGCCTCTTCCGGGTTCTTCATGGCGAGTCCACCACAGAAGGAGCAGAATGCCTGAGCAAAGCCATGTAGCTCGATTCTTAAAGCTCGGCTGACAGGCAATTGCCACAGTTACAACTAGGCACACCAAGATCTTTGATCCTATGTGATTGCGGTCCATGCTTACCAAGTGTCATGGGGCTTTAGGGGCAACCTCGAACGCTTTCTTTCCGTGACCAGGGATGAATGACTTTTGATCTCGTTACGCATGCATGCATACTGACTTATAGAATTCCTGGCCTTTGTATAAAAAAAAAAGGAGTTGTTACTTGCTTGCACAACTCCTGTCGTGTCCAGGCCGTCAGCATAATGACAGGTCATTCACCGTCAGGAGGCAACAAAGATTACATCCACCAGCACACAAACACCACAATCACAGCATCAACTCTTGTAACTTGCATCCCACATCTTCTTTAATCCCTTCTACTCACCCAAATCTCTCATCTCATCCTTTAAGGCCCCCAATCTCATCCCCCCACCTAAACCTCCCAACAAGGAAAAGGCGCCCCTTTCCCATCCACGTCATGCCAACCCACGGCGCACAGCCCATACGGGGAAAGGAGTGAGAACGAGTCCAAAAAAAAATTATTACAAAAATAGTAAAGCTCAACCTTGAAATAGGCGTCTCCCAATCATGTATTGGCAGATCCCCTAATGCGGTAGGAGGCACACGCGACAGCTCATCGGGGCTTTCCTTTTTTCTGCTGTAGTCTGAGACCAGGGATCTTGGGTGCAACGAAGCCTAACCCAACGGCGGCGGCAACGGAACGTTTGTCAATCGTACGTACACACGGGCCGGGTTGGGCTGGCCTTTGCAGATTGAGTTGGCATTTACCTCATTAGGAAGGCAAAGCCACGTTCAAGACGTGGATTGGATTGGATTAGAAGCCCAGGCTTTGTCGAGATCGGATGCCTGCATCTCCATGCCTGTATTTCTGGGGTAGTTTGTGGAACTCCTCTCTTGGGTAAGTCCGCTTGAGCCTGGGCATATAAGTCGCGCCCATCCCATCTACACCACTTCTCAATACTCAAAAGATTGCTCCAGCTTGGACAATATTGATATTGTCTGTTCTGCCAAATCAATTCTATCAAATGATTTCATCATACACGAGTCAACCTCCTCATCAACAGCATACAAAACCTCACGAGCAGTTCAGGCAAAGGATCAGGTACCAGACCCTTTAAACTTGCCAAGAAAAACAGCCGTTGTCTCTTTTGGCCCATGATAGATTCGTCAAATCCACATCGAGTTCCCGTCCGTTATCGTTCGTGCCTTCATCGAGTCCATTCCCATCCCTTTCCTTCCAACCCCATCCTATCCCGCCCTAATCTCTCCCTCTCGAGCAATTCGCAAGTCAGGCGAGTCTTCTCGGGCTCCCCAACGGGAGAAGACTCACCTCCTAAACACTAACAACTGCCTTCCGCAGGCCACCAAAGGCGGGAGACGAAATTACTCCGTTCGCATAGCCCTCGCCAAAAAGACCTGAGGCGTTCTGGAGTGGCCTTCGCGCCACTACTCGGATTGCAGACTTTCTGCCGACATACTCAATACCAGTAAACCAAGCTGACAGCATAGGCCAGCCAAGGTAAACGGCACAAAGCCTACCGGGCGTAATTAACAAAGACCACCACCGAGGCCCATCAGGCCTGCTGTAGGCCTCAAAGCCAACAACGCGAACCGAGCATAAGAAATAAAAGAAAAAATGCAGGTGGCAAATCAACACCCTACCAACGCCATATCACCAGGACCTCGCAAGACTAGCTCTGATGTCCAGAAGGGACGCGCAAGGTCGAGAGGCGGCGTCTCGAGCAAGCATTGAGCGCCGGGTATCAGAGACCAAAGATTCAGATTCATCTTTGGTGATGGTGCGTCATTACGACTGGTGGTGGTTGTTGGAGGGCATGCCCGGTTGTGGGGGTATGCCTGAACCGTAGCCCTGATTCCGTTGCACGTAGCTTTGATACGCCAAAGCCTGCTGGGGATCCATGGGTAGGTTGGCGGGCATATAGTTGTTGGGCATGTGAGGGTTCTGGGGCATGCCGGGTCGGCTGCCCTGAGGGGGGAGATGTTGGTTGGCGGGCTCTTCCGGAGACTCGACTTGGTCACCACCATCCACGCCGTTCTCGTTACCGGGCGTGGGTTCGGGTGCGTTGAGGCATGCCTAGATGATGTCAGCCAGAGGTCTTTTTGATGCGCGACACGTGTGCAGCCAGTATGAGGCTGCTGACGCGCTCTGAGTGATGGGATAGTACCTGAATCAAGTTCTTGCCCTCAGCCTTTGTTACGAGAGGTTGGAGCTTGGGTGTGGTGAAGGTATACACGAGACCGGTTTCAGAGACGACGAGAAGAAGGACTTGAGTGCCCGTGAGGACAGAAAGCTCGTATGCCTAGATGGGAGAGGTTGAGGATTAGCGATTGACACGTCAAGTTGATGCGCGCGATGTAGAGAGAGCGGGCAGTTTGGAAGGCTTTGGAACGCGACACGGCGTTGGATTGGCCTTAGAGGCAGAGAAGGATTGGTAATGGGTAGCGGACGAGTGTCCAAATGGCATTGATACGCGCATTTGATTGAATTCGCTTCAAGTCATTCTCTTTGATGGTAACGATGATGCTGATGGTGATAATAGGTGTATATGATGAGAAACTAACCTTCTTCATGATTCCGGCCTTGCGCTTGGAAAAGGTGATGTGTCGCCGAGACTTGTCGCTGATGAACTTGATCTCAATCTTGCGACGCTCGCGACCACCCTTCTCGTCATCATCATCGTCGTCGTCGCCTGCTGAAGGGCGCTGGCGCTTGATGCCGCGAGACTCGGTGGCGGCGTTGCCATTGCCAACGTTCTGCGACTCGTCGAGCTCGGTGGGCGAGGTTTGGTCGTGCTGGTCTGTGATGTCGGCCATGGCGTCTTCTGTATGAGTGATGGTCTCAAACGGGCTTGGGTTCGATTTTATCTCAAAAGAGAAAGCTCTCGTGTCTGTATTACCACGAACGAACCGCGACGGCAGCAAAGAAAAAAAGGTGGTGGAGATACTGCTTTGAGCGTGGTGCCGATGGATCTATACTGGATCTGGAGTGGGAGCGGAGAGAAAATGGAGGGAGCTGCGGTGCGCTGCGTTTCTTGTCGCAGAAACCTGGTTGGGCACGCTCTTGCTGTTTGCTGCTTCGAGTCTGGTCTGGGTGTGTCTGGGTTTGGGTCGGGGGGCCCTTTCCTTTTTCTGGGTGCGGGCTGTGGAGGGCGTGGGTGGCGCGGACGGGAAAGAAGCGAGGCCAGGCGAGGCAAGTGCAAGTGCGCGCGCGACGAAACCAAGTGAGAGAGCAGGGGGAGGGGGGTCCCGACGGCGGCGGCGAGGGGATTGTGACAATAACGGACAATAGAAGTGGCAGGGTTTTGATACTGTATGCAACCGGGGCGAGGCACTTGTACCAAAGGCTGCGAAGCAGGAAGAAGATATCCTTCTAGCGCGTGTTGATGTTTCTGCCAACCAGGTGGGTGAAGGAAAACATGACCGGTCCTCACATACAATTTCTATGGGGCAAGCGGCCTTGTAATCTTTCACCCGCCTGCCAACCCACGCTTGCGACCGATGGGTATCCGGATGCAATTGACGAGGCGCTTGTCTGAGAGTGGAGCGGTAACCTGTGGGGCAGATTTCGAAGCTTACAAGGAGCCCAAAAGTTCAGGCAGGTACTCAAAATGCCAGGGTGTGAGCGGGCAGTGGATGGATGCAAACAGAAGCGATGGTGTTCTTCTGTTTCATTATTTTCTTCTACGTTTTTACTCTGATCTTTCGTGCTATATCTCTATACGCAACATGCACGGAAACAAAACGGCGAGAAGGAGAAGCAGAAGCAGCCTTCTTTCATCTCGAGAGGGAGGGGAAGAGAGCTTGTTCGCCAGAGGGGGGGCTTGTTCGGTGGTGCTAAGATAGCAAGCTTTTGGCTGCAGCGGCGGAACGGGCTCGGAGTCTCCACGAGTGGAATGGGTGCAAGATGAGCCTGAGGAGGGAAGGGATGGATGGGATGCAAGGTCCAGCATCGACCAATCAAAAACTCGGATTTGGCCTGTCTGTTGCTGAGTTAGGGAGTCGGCGATTCAAGCGTCGGGTGGGTTGCTGCGTGCAGCGCGCCATTGCTGGTGCGACCGGGATTCCGCGCCTGAGTGGGCTGTGGGTATTCGTGTGAGAGCTGGTGTGAGAATCTGCAAGTGCCCTGTATCAAGGTACTTCGTATATCGAGGTGCATGGTCTGTGTGGATATGGGTTCATCCAAGTGCGAGGGAATTTGGAGCTGCTGGTTGCCAGTCGGGAGATTAGAAAAGGGCCCAAACGTGTGGAATGAAAGCTCAAGATGGGGTCTGGTCTGTGTGATGCAGCATGATGGGGTCGCAATAAATGTCAAGAGATGGATTGACATGATACATGGTGGTTCATTGATGGATAGTAGCGTCCAGAGACGGAAAAGAGGAAAGAGACCCATCAACGATGCAGAGATGGCAGTACAGTGGGAGTACAGTTGACACAGACACGACACACAAACACAGCGCGCCATTCTAGGTTCCCCATGGCCTTGACACGCCCTGCCCAACTCCCGAGTCCTCCTGTCACGGACGGCTCCAGCTCCCTCTGCCCCAGACAAACACGCCCTTGGCAAATCCCCCATCCCATCTGCTCCCCGTCTCCACGGCTGGCTGCTTGCGTGCGTTTGCCCTTTCGAGTCGAGTCGAGCCTCAATGGTTGGCCCACGGCTCTCCGTCAAACTCGGGGACAGGGACGGGAATGGGGAATGTCATCTTGGTCCCGCGATCAAAGGAGGCATAGTGAGGTTGTAGCCGTCCTGCACACGGACGCTCCTGTGGACAATGAAGAGATCACCCTGTATAAAGAGACAAGGCAAGCCAACAGAGTCGTTTGCAAGGAGGGGCTTGAAGATGAACGCAGCAGAGGCTGATCCCTCCAATGTACCCGCGCCCTGTCCTGTCCAAGGCTTCTCCATCATGGACCCGACCCCATCTCGTCGAATTCATCCATTCACCGTCTATCAAATGAGCCCATCACATACCATCCGCAAGGTTCTCCCGTCTTTGCTGTGCATGAGAGAGCTTCAACCATTCATCAGATACTCGGGGGCCGAGATTCGCACCGGCCAACCTGCCAACAGGCAGAGGAGCTTCGTCCGTGGTCACAGACAGACAGGCAGGGTGGGACGTCAGTGATGACGGATGGCCCTGTCAACGACATGCATCTGCGCCTGTTGGTGCCCCCGTTTCCACCATCAGCCACTGCCTGGTGTCTCTTCCCCTGGACCACACCCAGAATGACCACCGTTACAGCTGTGCAAGGTCGTCTCGTCGGCTCTGTGCTGACATTTGACACTCTGCTGAAGCGGATTCTCTACATGCACCGAGTCCTTTTGCTAGGCAGCCAGCCAGCTGGCTCGTCTGGTGGAGGCAAAGACCCACGACTCGGGCCATCGAGCAGCACAGCACTCAAAGGTGCTCCACCAGAATCCCGCTCCGCCCATTCAAGCGAGTGACACAGTCCGCGGAGTCGGCTCCCACTGCTCGCGGGGAGATCCTGTCAACCACTGCGCGGTGCCTCAAATCACTCTCGGTCCTATCCCTGGCTATCGTGAGCCGTTGAGGTAGTGGGCCGTTCTGTGCCGCATGCATGCCGCCCGCGTGACGAACCATAACGTAGCTCCCAGCATCAAGACTTCCCCCGAGGTTGCATTCACACGCTCTCACCTCCTGTGCCTTGCAACTTGGCCTCAGACTCTCGTGGATCACCAAGATCTTCACCAGTACCCGAAGCCAAGTGCCTGGCCAAACTCAACCTGCTTAGACATTTCTGCACCTCCCGCGACCGGCCCGTAGGGCGGCAGCCCAAACCAAATCAAATGCCCTGTCCCTCGTGCTTGTGCTTGCCATGCTTTCTTGCTTGCTTGCTCAATGTCCAACCTCCCCTGCTTGACCTGTTAGCAATCAACCAAATCTTAGCTAGCGCAGATCTGTCGCACAGTGCCAGCTGCTGCAAGTGTTCCGTCGTTGAGGACACACAATTAAACACAAAGGAAACAGCTTTGGTCTTGGAGATGGCACATGGTATTGCTCCCCTGTCTGCGCGTGCATCTGCGTCTGGGTAGCTAGGCCTCGACCGCGTGTCGCATCATCTGCTCAGACAAGTGGGGGACTTTTCTCGGCGCGAGAATGACTGAGCGCGCAAGACAGAGAGGTCAACCCATCCCCAAGCGCCTCTATATCCCTGCTTGTGCAACATACAGCAGCAGGATGGGGTACTTGCCAGAGAAGTGCCCCCGTTGCCGGCCAGGTTCAGCGACGGTCTTTTGTGAGCTGAGGTGCCGTCTTGCTTCATTAGCTTTTCAGATTCACACATGCCACAGAGATGTCGATGCCAGCTGGCCCATTGTCAACATAGCCAGGCCATCTCGCCTAGTTTGCAGGGGATGGGACCCAAAAGGTCCGTGATGAAGAAGCCACAGCAAACGGAGGAGAGTCGGAGGATAGGCGGGCCTAGCTTCCTCGGCTCTACCCTACCGACCACCGGGGTTACACTGATCGAGACCCTGGCAAATGGCGGTTCCTCTCCAAAAAGCCATGCTGGAAATATACCGCAAGGTGGCGTGGGCATGATTGGCGGAAGCCTCCAAGACACCGTCAATATGAAGTGGGCGATTTTCAATGACACGGAGGCCGCGAGCACAATGCCATGCCATGCCATGCATCGGCCAGAGCAGAGGTGCTCAAGCGCAAAACCATGACCAGCGTCGGTGGGGTGGGCTCCAATGGAGATACAGCACAGTCTGAGCCGGGAGCACACCGTCATGTCATCCCATCGTCCCAACCTCTGTTGTTGGAGAGGAGCAAACCCTGTGGAGCAGTCGCGTCGGCCGCACTGATAGCTCGCCGACCAAGAAGCGGGGGATCCTGAAGCGCCTTGACAGTGGATGGGGGGGATTGGTGGACGAGGGCCTCGGCTCCGTCGGAGGGTGGCGGGAAGGGCTCCAGGGCTTGTTTGTCCGTGATGAAGGGGCGACCCTTAGGGCGGAATAAGTGCACCTTGACATGATCGGATGGCGTAAGTTGAGTCGCGTCGATTCCGGAGCCGGCCGAAATGCACGAGGCGGGGAAGGGCACAGGCAAATGCCCAGAGCAAGAACTCGAGTCCTCGAGCAGCGGTTTTAAACTTGAAGCCGTATTCAAAGATGTTGGAGAATTCGCAGGTCGAAAAGGGTTAGATATCATCCAGTTCCATCTTGCATTTAAGGCTGGAGGCACAGACCGAAGCAGAAATGCTTCATTCCGCAGAGGGAATGGTGTCACACAATACTCGCGAATGACGATGAACCAGATGGACGAGATGGGACTGTCAAGCCCTGGCTCTCCTCTCTGTTCGCAACTTGGCGCACGGCCCGGACATGAGCTGCAACTGCACCGAAGCGGGGGAAGTGCCAGCCAAGCCCAACCTCCACTTCCAGCGTCTGTTTGTTCGACAGCGGGTGGAAAAGGCCTTGCTCGACCTCTCGGCTGTCGAGGGCGCGACAGGCAGGGCAGGGCAGGCAGTTCTCGATGGCCTAGCCCCAGGGCCAAAGCTTGCTAAGGTTGTGAAGGGGGCCCTCCCCTGCTCACCAGACTTGACCGAAATAGGAAGCTCCCCGAAGGAGACACAGTGCCGAACGTGATATGATCGCGTTGCGAACGGCGACGTAGGCTGTTTGCACGCGGCAGGCCAAGAGATCTTCGTATTTACAGTTGAACGGTCGATGACGGCGTAAAGTAGCATTGGTGGCGTAGGAGGGGATGCCTCCTCGCTGTTGGACCTTGGAGAAACGAGATGGAGGGTCGTGGCCTGGAGGTGGTAGTTGGCGAGCAGGTGGGTCAGCCTGCATGCCAGAGACAGCTATGTGTTTAACGGGGCCAAAGAGACATCTGGATAATTACATTATTTTTGTGGGGTTGCGCTCGGACATTTCACTGGTCAATTTTATTTGCTGCAACAAAAGGCAAGGCAAGCGACCCCGTGTCGTCTCCTCCAGGTATCTTTGGGCAGGAGACCCCGTGGATGTCTTGTGATTTGTCATGGTTGTCAGTGCAGGAGCTGAAGAGCTTGAAGTTGCTGACTTGCAGCTA